TCTTTTGGGAGCTATGAAACTAAATAAGAGACCCTTACTCATACCAAAAGTGATCTTTCAAAGAGCTATGGAGAAGACACTAACAAAACCTAACCTGGAGAATAGTCAGGATTTTACTATAGCTACTTGTAAGAATCGATAGATTCCTCTTTACCTCAACACTATGTGGAAGAAGTTCCATTCTAATACAGGAGGGAGGGTATAAGAAATTCTGGACTGTAAAAAGTTTTTAACCATTATGTAAAGATACCAACTTGCAAGAAAGAACTTTTCAGGTACCAGCCTTCAGGTACCCAGAGTCCTGAGATCCAAATGAATGGTCAGCCTGTGGAACAGGAGAACGGCCACTTAAGGCAGTCAGAAACTTATTGGCAGGGATAGTGCTAAAAAGCAACAGCTTTCTCTGAGGAATCACAAGGTTTACATTTTATTTTCCCTTTTGGCCGAGTAAGTTTTAAATTCAGTTTGTAAACAAATAGAAAGGAGAGCGGAACAATATTCACATTGGAACTTGCTTCTGTCAACTAAACAACTCAGTTCAAAACCGAGAGAGACAAGACCTTAACTTGAGAGACGAAGAGGTCTCCTTAGGACACTGAGGAAAGGAAAACCCATTCTACAGCGGCGACTAAATTTTGCCTCAGAGCAGCCATATAAATGATTACTCTTTTCACAAGATTTCCAAAGCACATAGAGATTTTCCTCTAGTAAAAGTAATAGGTACCTGGAAAAGAAACATGGGGCCTTTCTGCTTCGAATAAGCTATTCTTACTGAAATACCCACAATATTAATAGGCTAGGTGAGCAGCAGTTTTCTTTCTCCAGTTACCTGAAACATAAACAAGGTAACTTTAATTCTAAATGTTTATATTACAGTTCAAGGCCAGAATCTATTTCCCTGACCCAGCATATGTACTTTCAAGACATAATTTGTCTTTTCAAGCCTGAAATATATTTATGTAACTATACCTAATGAGTTCAGAATAGAACTCCTCGAATCTCAATAGAAAATAAAACTAGAATCCCTTTTAGATAATACAGATGTGCTGTAAACATTTATACTCAGTATGAACATACATTATCTTCTTTTTAAAGTCAGAAGAGGCCTCTGCTTTCCTATTTATTTGCTCTCTCCTAAGATGAACGTTGGTAGTATTGCAGGCAGTTAAGCCTCCACCTTGAGAGTCACTTCGTGTTCTTGCTGTCAGCCATGAAAGATTTTTCTCCTCTCACCAGCTTGATAAAATCAAAAGTTGTATTAGAACAATCCAAAGACAAGGAAATAGTATTTCCAAGCACTTCCTTTGTGGAATAGGGATGCTACTGTATGGAGAAACATGTATATATACACACATATAACTGAACATATAAATAACAGTTACCTAAAGGAGTTTTATATTTACTGTTCTAACACAAAGTCATGAGCAGATTTAGTGGCATAGACTGACAGGCACGCACAGGCAAGACTCAGTTTGCTTGATTAGGCAGAGTTGATGTTAGCGAAAACTCAGTATGTACTGTTTTTTGAGATAACATTATACATAGATAATACCAAGGATCCTCCTAGTCTTCCCCCACCAAGTATACTGCAGATGTATCAAGTCCAGCTGCAGTTATTTAGCTGTATTCAATGACAAGCAAAGCACATGTTTAAATTTTATGGCAAATTAAATAATGAAATAAATCTTACAACTCAAAATTTTTTTTTTCCAAAGAACAGAAAAAATAACCAAATTCACATGGCATAATTTTTTTCCTACTGCAATTAAAATACTGTGAAACTTAACATAGCAAATAATCAACTCTTTCTCTATCTAATCATTTTACGAGTCAACCTGTGTGCATTTCAGACTGACTAGCAACTAAGCTGTTTGAGGCAGCAGTACTTCAGAAATCATTCTGAAGTTCTCTTCTCCCCTTCTCCATCAAACATTTTTAAATCTTTCTCCTTCTCATAAAAAAACAAAGACAGAAAAGATACTAAGTCAGCCTATTTATTGTTAAACATGACTTGCCTGGTGTAAGAACTAGGGACCACTCACACATTCACCATGAACAATTTTCTTAGGTCAAGAGAACGCATACTTAATAAAAAAAGATCTGAATTGCTGGTATGAATTAATAAACAAGCCCTTTGTGTTTTTTGTACTTGACAATTACAGTTTTAAAATATGTCAGTACAACTACAAATGCTCTATTACTTGATCTACAATCTTACCAGCAGTGTTCTGATATTATCAAACCCCTCAACCTGACTTAGAAGTGAGACTGTGGTGACTGGCTGTACGACAGTCTTCATCGATGATGGAATTTTGACCTTTCTGGAGTCAATGGCAAAACTCTATGTGGGTCAGGATTTCACAAAGCATTTAATAAACATTTATGTTCAGTGACTATGAAATACGCTTGACTGTATTATATAGCTACTTGTCATATGCTTTAATATGAATGTACAATACACTCACATTAAATAAATATAACATTTCAAAAGCACGCCCTTTTCATGATGCAGATTATTTTGCTAAGCAAAAACCACATGACAGTAAGCAACAACATTAGTCTTGCTAGATATCAGACAAGTTTATTTCATCTGTGACAAAAATTATGCAACAGCTAGTTTTTCCTGTCACCTCAAAAGATTAATAAAGTGTAGGTTATAGAAATACTCAGCAAATGTATTTATAAAATAAACAAAATTATTTTAAAATAAACATTCATCCTCCCTTACGCAGACTGATGTATATACAGAAGCATATCATGACCTCATTTATCCTTCATCAAACAAGACTCTACAGTAATTTAAACACTCACACAAGCACACAATTGTATCACACACAGAAGTCAATGGAGTATTTTATCAGTTTTTCTGAATTATGACAATACATAGCAGACTGAATTGAGCAAGAAGATCATGCAATAAACCAGAGTTGCAGAAGTCATAAGCACTTCAAAGGTGATGCTAAGACAACATTTTTTTTTTTATTAAACAAAATTTCGATTCAGCTGCTCAAATTCTTAGTATACCTCAAAATTCACATTCAATAGCGAACTCACTGATCAAGGAAACTGATGAGTTTAAAGAGGTGTGGACTCCACCCCTTCTTCGATTTCCAAGTACTTCTGTCATTTAAAAATTCCTCTCACTGCTTATTTCATTTCAAAATGATTTCACAATAGCTTTTGCAGATTTCTTAGGTTTTTGCCTTTTGTGAAACACACTATATTGTGAGGGAGCAACACTCTGCTGAAGTCAACTGTCATACTGTGCATTCTGATCTCCACAAATTTACTTCACTGCAGCCGTTCCCTACTCCTGTAAAAGTATTCCTGCTTCAGTGGGAAATTAAACCCTGCTCTAACAACAAGCACTCAAAACAACAGCAAAGCTGCTCAAATACTGTATTTTTTTCCACAAGTATATATTTAAAGCAGAAAAGGGATAAAAGACTGCAGAAATCTTATTTGTAATATGTTGATTTTGATTTGAGGAACATTCTTTACATTCTTTACCATATCGGCTGATGCTAATATTTCTGTGGATGGAAAACTTCCTCATAATTTTTTCCCCCATCTTCCCCTCTCACACATTTTTTCATTGATTATGACAACTGAGTGATCGATGTAGCACGGACGCTACTGAGCAAAGTTATACAAGCTCCTCCAGTCAGCCTCAAAATCTAACCACCAAGCACAGGTTATTTAAGTGTCATTGGCCTGTAAGCAGAATATGCTGAATACTTTTAATTGTGTTCATGGTGCATTTGTAACATAGTCTCGGTTAACTTCAACTTAGGCAAGATCACATAGGTCATATACTATAGGATGCTGAACAGTCATCAGATTATGACAATTTGGGTAAATAACCTAAAATCAAATACATAATGAAAAATGAGCACTTAGCTGTTTCATCTAAGCTTTTTCAAATTTGTGTCCATAAGACATTGTGGAATGGCAGTTTAATTTTAATTTTACATGTATAAATATTTTTCTGCAATAAGTATAAAATATTCGTAAGATAGGCTCGGAAAACACTCAAGGAAAGAGGATTCAGATTATATCACGGGTTAAAGTTATCCTAACCTTTATATTATATGAATGCCCGAAAGGAGTCATAAACCCATCTCCTGAGGGTTCCATCAGTATAAAAGAAATCACCAGATGGAAAAGAGTTGGCAGAGTTAATGTACCCTAAATTCCATCCTAACTCTGGAATGCAGAACCAAAGTTCTGAAGTTCTTCACTTACATTATGAGAATGGAGAAAAATAAATTGACTGTTGTAATGTTGCGGTCCCTAGTTTCTAGAACATTTTTTTGAACCTTCCCTGTTGTGTTTTGAAGTAGGACTCAATGATGTCAAAACTGACATAATACTTTTGTCCCTTCCCCTCTCTTTCTCCTGTTCTCCTACATTAGATGATTTTAAATTTAACTTGTTCCATGAGTGAGTGTAAGTGTTTATTACCATGACCAAAAAAATACTTATTTCAGGATTCAAAAATATCTGAAGAACAATCACATTTTCAAGGCAGTATGGTCCTGCCAGAAGCCATGAGATCAATACTATTGAACTGCCTTTTCTTTAGCATTGACAGGGAACAGTTATCCAGACAACACATATCTGTGTCTCCGTTTGGTGTGGGCCTTTGTAACTGAGGCCAAGCTGATGTGTCCATGGAGGAGAGTAGGATGTTCTTCATTCTGCATAAATATGTGGAACAGCTCTTTGAAGCTTTAGCAAGTCCTGGTAAAGCTTCAAAACATGACCTGTGATATGAGTTCAAAACATGACCTGTGATATGGGTTCCAGGAGTTTCCTATATGCCACAGAGTAATCAAAGAATTAGACAGTCCTAATTCTAAGGCACTCCAGGAAGTAAATGAAAGTTACCTATATATAACAGATTCCTGCATTTTTGAGTCACTGTCCTACAGAAATACTTCTCTCTCACATTCATACACACAATTAATTAAAATATGGTAAAGATATACAAAACTTACATAGTCATGAAAGGCTTTTGCTTCACTTGAATGTTCACATGTTTCTCGTCTTTCTGGAGCTGCACAGTAGAGATCCCAAAACACACTGCAAGTTAAGAAGTTACAGATATGGTGAGAAAATCATTATAATTCTCATACAGACTTTATGGAGTACACATACATGTGTATAAATAGAAATAGACATATCACTTTCTAGCCAAGAGCTGAAAACTTACCTCTATGACAGAATTTAGCTTTGCAAAGTGTCTGTGAGGAATAAAGTCCTATTATCTGATTTCTGAGGCAAGCAATGCTGCATGCCTGTAAAACCACAGTAGCGTAAACCCAGAAGCAAGTCTAATATATAAGCTTTTGGGGTATAAAGCAAATTACTACAGCTCTGCATTTAACCTCATACCTCTGTGACTGTTACAATTTACTACCAGAAAGCACTGGAAGGGACAGATTCATATGATAACCTTGTGAAAAGGCAAGAAAATGAAGAGAATTCTGGGAGTTCTTCCAAGGTCCAATACTGTCCTTTAAACAAAAGTTCCTACAGAAACAGATAACAGTAGGAAACAGAAGGGTATGCCATCTTAAAGCTCTTGAGTTATAAAGAGGGAAAGGAAATTATGATACTCCAACAAATCTTTTCCCCTCGCCTTTCAAATAGTGATACATGAATCAACTCTAACACACTACAAGCATCTCTGAACTGTTAAGAAATAGTATATAAGATACTTAACTATGACAGCAATGTTAGCCAGAAAGTTTCTAGAATAAAATTCTAGGTATGCTAGAACGATTAAAGGAATTAAATATGTTAGAGTTTCATTTTCTTTCTTTATTGTTTTAGACTTAATCCTCAGTAACTCAGCCCAGCACCATAGTTCAGAATTGTGGAAAATTTGACCACTCTGCTGCAAAAAATCACAATTAAGAATAATGCTGATATCAGAGATACACGGAACAAGTTCACCCTGTCTGGCTTCCATCACTGAATTAAAAGCAGAGAGGTCAATAAAGGATATGCCACCTTCACTCAGCTATAGAAATCACATGGGGCTTTTATGTTCAAGTGGGACCCTTTACAACTTGTAGCTTAATTCCTGTACTCCTAATGGCTGTCCATATTCTCCACCATTCTGCAGCGTGGCAAATGTAGACGGAGCAGATATATTTAAATCATCCTGCAACTAATAAATACCATGGCTAAAGAGCAATGCCTATGAACACTCTTTTCCTTGTGAATTTTATATACACAAATATATCTGCACATCAATACATATAAGCAAGTGGCATCATGCATAGAAAATTACAAGTGAGCTCTGTGTCCTACCTGTATTCTAAACGGAGAGAAACTATGCAAATGCAGCTACTGCAACACCAAGCCCATGCTAACATATACTGCCTCTCAAAAAGGCTGGTAGCTTTGGCTCAGCTAATTGCTTTCATATGCTATTCCTGTGACTAGAATGTGGATTAAAGACTGAGGAAGCTCACATCTATTTGCAGAGTCTGTGTGTATATGTGTATGTATCTATAAATACTTTTTTCAAATGCAGTTATTTAAGACATAGAGAATGAACTCTTAAAGGCACGATTTACTGGAAGATGGTGAACAGAGAGATGCCTACCATCTTCTTTCAAGGCTGCTGTGTTATCGACATGCTACACAATATTTCTTTTCATCCAGTAACGAGAAATAAACCTCTCAACAAGAGCAAAAGCGTCCATTTTTTCAGACTGAATATGTACCCGATAAATAAAATTGTAAAGAATAACATTATACTTTGTTGTGATTAAGTACATAATATCTAACTTTCTGTTCTTTTATCACTTTCCAAAAAAATAGTTCTTCATCCTCATCTTCACGTCCTTTTCACAATGTTCACCTGAACTTCTTGCCTCCAGCCATTAGAATTCACAAGCAGCATGTTCTATAAATCAGAGGAAAAGAGAACTGACACTTACCACCACCAGGAGTGCAAGAATCCTGGGGGCTCCCCCAGTGTGATGTTTTTTTCCCATCTTATCTAAAAAGAAACAATAAAAACTCTGTGATCACTGTGCTTAAAAAGTATTACATAATTTATTCAGATAGCAAAAAAGGGAAGACTAAAACATTTTGTAGCTATGAAAGGCTTTATCATTATCAATCTGGATGGCCATTTTGCTTCCTTATCATACTTATTAGTTTTGCTGATACCTACCTTATTTTAGCAAAGTATATTTTAGGATTTTTTTTAAAATAGATTTTGAATATAATTTTATTAAGGACACATTTTGACTCTCTCCACCATTAAGGCAGGCATTTATTTAAGCTCAAAAACACACATCACAAAAAAAAATTGGGTAAAGAATACCCATAAAAGCTATCTAAGAGATTTTCCAACTTGCCCTAAGAAAAACATACAAGATACAGAACAAATGTGACTGATTCAGCAGGTGGCAGTCTTCCCTCCACATCCAAAGTGAGCCAATGTTTTAGAATCCTCAAGGAATACTTCACTGCTAGAGGTAACGTCACAAATACAAGTCACATCAAAGTTACAACCCATTCTCCCACCATTCAATGGAAACGAAAAACTAGTTTGACTTGGAATGTCTGCACTGGCAAACTCTCTTGAATAGGGAGGGACGCACTGTCTAAGCTTGCTTGCCTACCTAAGAAGCGTGGTTTATTTAACACCGTTTTCAAAGGAAAGACAGTTCAAGAATTCTCACCCTTGACTTCACACTTTGATTGTTGATCAATTAATTTGTTAGACAATATTAACATATTGTGAAAGAATTCTGGCTTTCTGCAATGCTTTTACAAATGCTATATCTTAACAATACCATACAATCATTTTATTAATGCTACAGTCATGAGCTTATTCTTAACTACAAAACTGAAGAGTTTGGACTATAATAAATCTAGTATTATTTTTTAAGGAACTCTGTCAAAAATAAGTTAAGATTCTGTAGAAAATCACAAAATACTGTTAGGAAGACTGGCTCATCTTAAAATGGGGTGTAAATCAGGGCATTGCATATACTCCAAACTCCTCCAGCTGTAATTACACATAGCATTATCTCCTGCCTAAATTTGTAAAAAATAATTGCCTAAACACTTACTATATTCTGCTCTAGAGACAGAAGTAATGGCAGATGAAAGAAGTATTATTTTAATGACATGCTTAAACAATCTCAATATGAAAGATACATAAATACATACAAAGGTATAAAAACGCTTAATATGAAGGGTAGCATTCATATTGCAAGAGGCATGGGTAAAGCTGGGAGTTTTCAAAGGAAATAAAACTTTGATTCTCATGGCCAATTTAATTTCCACACCCAAATCTTAAGAATTATAGAATTAAGAAATTTAAACATATATATGTTCTGTAAATGGTTTGCAAGAAAGGAATATATAATTAGCACCTACAAAGTTTTCTTAGCACTCACACGAAGTTATCTAAATTTTGAGGTATGATGTAAATAAGCACAACTATTCAAAAATCATTCTGTAATTTAAAAATTATTTTGAAAGATAACCTAGAGATACTATCACTTCTGTCAGCAAAGTCGGCAGAATGAACTAAGTACATGGAGCTTAAAGCAAAAAAACAACACAAATAAAAAAAACACACACATTCATGTTCTACATAACAGCAGTTAAGATATAAAAAGCACCTTTTAAAATGTAGAACACTCACCTAAACTAACTATGCCGGATAAAAATGTTAATTAGAATGAAAGCATATAAATAAAAGCCAAAGCTACTAAAAAGGTATTTCACATTCTTCAAATGCACTCCTCTGAGGCATGAGTTCTCCTCATATCCATTGGGAATGGGTTGGAAGGACTTGTGTTAACCACCAGGACCACACAGTACTTCTGAGAAGTTTCAAAAACAACATATTGAAGAAGAGATGCAATATATAGTCAGAACAAAACATTGTTCCTGAAGCTGGAAAATCATTCAGTTAAAGTAAAAATTGCATTTGTGTAAAAAGCTCTCATAATGTCTATGGAGTATTCAAGCTCTTAAAAGCAGGGCTTGATGAGGAAATTACCTGATTCTTGGTCCTTTTTACCTGATTCTTGGTCCTTTTTATTGGGATACATTTTATCTAGATAAATGTATTCAAAGAAGGAGCCTGAAGGCAATTAGGAAGTTTGGGGGTTGTTTGAGGGGTTTGTTTGTTTTTCAAAATATAGGTACTTCTGTTTCACCTGGTAGATGTCAGTCTGTCTGATCGTACAGACTTAAAAAGAATTATGAAGAGTTATTAATAAAAAAAAAATAACCACACTTTCAGCTGTATCAATTAAGTTCATTACTGGTGATCTATTAAATGGGAAATGCCTACCTTCTGGGCCCAGCCAAGCTAATGGATTTATTCCTCCAAGGCTGTAATCTAACTTCTAAGGACAGTAAACCATTGGGCTAGGGATCAACTCTTCAAGGAAAACGTAGCAGCTTGGACCCCAAGGGAAAGATTCTGAAGCAGAGCAGCTTCTTCCCTTTCAAAAATTTGGGTACCCCATCTGAACAGCTCTTCTCAATCCTCATAAGAAAATGCTGTGGTTTAGATGAAATCTGGTTGTGCTGGCTCCTTGCCATTTTGGCAACTATACGATCACTACGTATTTTGGGATGAAACAGCTGTTGAGTTACTTCAATCAATTACTTCAGACCATGCCTCCTGAAGGGAAGTAATTTGCCGACCAAGAGACAAGAGCTGTAGCTAATAATCTAAAGAGGTCTCTGCAATCCAGAGACCCAGGAAAAGGCCAGCTGAATTTGTGGTCCCACATTTTAGAGAGATGAGGCAGAACAAATCTTTGAAGGGTGTACTCAAAAAGGACCACAAAGACGTCTAAACCATCCTTAACCTTATCACTGAGACAGCCCAGCAGAGGCCTTCAAGAACATGCTCACTTGTGACTCAGTTCCATGAGATTTGAACTAAAAAACAAAGCATTACAAAAATGTAGGAATGCTTAAGACAAGCATCTCCAAGTTATCTAATATAAGAGGGATTTCATGATATCCAATTTAAATTTTCCTTTTTTAAATTTCATGCCATTACTCTTAGCTACAGTCCCTTGCAGAAATTTAAGGAAGGGCTCTTAACCTTTGTCATTTACACGCAGTAGATCCCAGGCAGCTAGAAAGCTCAGATAAGGCATATATGCATACATCTTTTATGCCACAAATTCAGTTTTAGAGACGCTCGGAACTATTTAATCTTAAAAAAAAAAAAAAAAAAAACCCACAACCCAAAATCCAAATTGTTCTGGCAGCTGTGGACTGCTGGAGCAGAGAGGGCATTGAGCCCAGATAGCCATGCTTTTTAAGCAGTGACCAAAACAATACAGATTTCCTCCTATGCCATCTGGGTATCTCCTACACCTGAAGTATTCCCACAACTAGCCTACCACAACAGGGCAATTGCTTCACAGCACCCATGAGTCGGAAAAGTACAAAGACAGATGGGAAATCATGACTTTCATAACCTCACAAATTAATAGTCTGGAAGACTTTTTTCTTTTTGCACTTCTCAACTGCCATTCTCTCATTTTCATTCTGCATGCCAATATTCATTTTCTAACAACTAGAGTTGATTCACATGGGGCATGGAGGGGTAAAAGCTATTATTTTGTGGTTAACAGCCCAGGATTGAACTGGCATTGCAATGTAAAGACCTGTCTATGCCACATTCCCCTCTCATTCTTTTCTGCTGCTTTTACCACTAACTTATATGTTTTAGATTATTTCTTCCAAACTGTATTAGCGTGCTGCTTCCTCAATCTTTATGACTTTCAGCCCAAATATCAAATTTTTCCAGGTTCCTTTGTATAATAGCAGTGAAAACTGCCATTTGTTCCAACCTACAATCATTTACAAATACTATCAGCATAGTGTTTGCCCTTCTGCACTGTTAATGAACGGGATAAGTAAGTTCATAGCTCTGTGCGAAATCTAACTGACACCTCATACCAATTCAATATGTTATTATTTATCACTATGCCCTGCTCCTTATCTTTTGACTAGTAGTAGCCTGAATTTGAAGGTTTTGATACATTCTCAGATTAAATTAGTTCAAATCTGAGAGTTTCTCCACAATCCAAGTTTAAATTCGCTTTAAGAGCAAAGTTTAAAGACAACGTATTGAATATTTTCTTGAAATCCAAATGTTACACTAGTCATAAGCCTGTCAACTGCTCATTTTGCAAATATATCATAAAAACAGAATGAGTAAAAGGAATCTTGTACAGTGTATTATCTACAAGTGACTGCTATTTTGCAAAAGCCAAGATTATATTCTCTGATTTTCTTTCTCTCTCATATTTTCCTATCGCTTTACTAAGAGAGAAAACAATTGTCACAAAACACACTTTAATATAAACATAAATTGATACTACCACAATTTTACTCCCTTTGCCTAGCTGTGTTATCTGAATTTTCCATGATAACTATCACAAACAATCTTCCTGTTCTCTTCCTCTCCTCTCCCACCTCCAAGAAGTCATCATTAGGATAGTAATTCTATTAGCTTTTGAAGGACTATCAGTTGAAGCAGCAAATTTTTTAAGTATAACGTCTGTTTTTTCTCACCTCTGCTTACTACGCAGTTATTACAATCCTAAATATTACCATCAAGGAAAGATTAAAAACAGTAATAAACCAAAAAGACTTCAATATGTTTGACACAGGTATTTCTCTATCCCAGAATAAACACAGAATGCTGAAGAAAGGTATTTTTTTTTCAGTCTTCACAAGATGTGTACAAGCCTTTACAAGACTATGAAAAATATTAACTATTGTGTAATGAGAAAAGAGTGTTTAATAAGCTCTAAATGGTCATAGTCATAATTGATTCACCAGATGAAAAGAAGTGAAGTGGTTAAAAGGATGGAAAGAATATATATTGAAATCAGCACTGGTTAAGAGAATAAGAATTGCAAGCATATGACGATGGGATGTAAAATATTTGACTGCTGTGTTTTTAGGATGGTACATTATTCACAATTGGACGTATCAACAATAAGTTAAAAGATCATCAAATAGGAGTACCATCAGTGCATTCGCTATATTCTCTATCTTATTAGAGAAAATGAGGGGAATCCTTCTCAATGTAGCACCAAATCAGAGAACAGTGGGTAACAAATCACAGCAAAAGTAATTACACTCTGGTGTGTAAAATGACTTGGCAAACTGGCTTTTGCAGATTCAGAAGTCAAGATAAACTGATACTCAAGGTCATCACTGATGTTTATTTTAAACTAACATACATTTATTTTGCATGCATTTTACTTGCACACACTTGAAAATTGTGGAAGAAAAAAAAAAAGATGGGGAGAACATACCTCTGATAAAAATGTCTGGGCAGATTTCTGTGCTCCTACATGGAGCAGATATTCATATACGTACAATGCTAATCTGAAAAACAAATAAGACAATATTTAGTATTGTGCATTTGTTTGTTCCTCTTTTTAGAAACAAAGGATTTCACAAGTTAGAGCTGCACACTATTTCCTTTCAGAAAACACTACACACTACACATGTCAAATCTGCTATCTGTACTGAACTTTTAAAATGAAAACATGTAGGTCAATCTGAGCAGAGGTGTTTAAATAGTAGTTAATTAAATATTATTAAAAACCCAAATTACTTAATGTCAATATTTTTAATGATATTTGGACAGGTGCCCAGTTAGCTAACAACTGACCTACTGCTGCTCTGTATTTGCCCACACTATACCATGCTTTTAGTAAATACAATACATCCATACAGTAACAGTGATTATTTTTTCACATCAAAATTTTTATATGTGGAACGTGTCTTGCTGTTAGCTCATTTGAACAATAGCCTATGGTTATTCAAAGAACACGCAAACTTCAAGCTGCACAGAAAAAGCAATCGCAGAATCCACGGCACTATTGTAGTGCAGCCACATCTCTTAAGCAAAGTGTAAACAGATTTTTAGATTTATTCCGACATGCCATCTCTCAGCACGACCACCTAGCTACAAATTATTGTCACAGTTCCAAAAGGATCTTCACAAAAAGTGATCTTCAGCAGTCAGGCACATCTCCAACGAATTCAAAAGAACTGCAAAAGGATCTTACTGCAGAAAGGAGACTCATACCCTGAATACCCATCCACTAAAACTTGGACTGAGAATGCTTTTTCAAAACCCAGGAGCAGCTAAGCAGCAACAACAAACAGCTTCTACTAATATAGACTAGATTTGAATGAGCAAACTAAAGATGAAGCACTTCCTATTCTGCAACTGATTCTGTAGAGAAGTTCCTGCCTGACTGCATGCTTAAAGTCTTTCAAAAGTCTCTCATTTACTGCGATTTGCATCGCTCTTAAAAATAATGATTTTATAATAATGCTTAGAAATTGCACACAAAACATTTCAGTCCAAGAAAAGAAAAGAAAGTCAGGCTGTATTTCTTTTAAAACTGCTAGCTGAACTGTTTTTAAGAAGCTGAATCTATTTGAGTGGACTTCGTGATATACTGCTATTCCTGTTTGGAACGTTTTACCATTCATGTTCAAAAATATGTAGTTTAACTAAACAAAGTAAAGCGGCAGAGGATTTCTATATTCCTGCTACTTCTCAAAAGATTATGCAATATTAGATCAGATAACTGTCATAATAGCACTGATAGAATAGTAATTATTGTAGCAATCCAGCATGAAATAGTGTGAAAGTGTGAAATTTTAAAGTTTAGGAGAGGCGTTGCATAAAAATTTTTTTATTAGTTGTTCATACTTTATTCATGCAATGCTCACACTACTTTAGTCTCTCTCCAACATTAAAAGCAACACTGTATTTTTTCCTATAATAAAGTTTATTATTTCAACATATGATTATTCTTCGTTTGAAGCGTGAAAGGGACCGTACCCACTGTTTAATTCTTATATTTTACAAAACAGTTGTATATTAATTTTTTCAGCCATACTGATAAATGCAAATCTCGGTGTGATAAGGAAAAAAGTTATTCTAATGGAGCACGGTACCATTCTGTGCTCAGGTGCCAAACAGCTCAGATATAATTACAGTTAATGTCTCCTGTAAGTACTGGGGAGAGAGATGATCACTTATATTGGACTCTCTCTTCCCAAAAGCACAACTGCACGTGTCAAAAAGAAAGTCAAATCTTACTGACTTAATTCTTTTCAGTTGAATTATCATTAAATTTTTCAGCAATAAAGAGTTGTAGACAAAATCCAAGATCAGAAACATGTTAAAGGCACAGAGGAGGTACTGTTTCTACAATAACCAAATGACTTATATACCTAGTAACGCTTTAAAACATTTCATTTGTCTTCTGAGATACACAATTTTTTTGTTCTTATCAAAACATGAAGCCTGCAGTCCAGATAAAAGGATTTGTGTGATCATATCCTTTCTACCCCGCAAACGAAAGCAAAAAGCAAAAGAACCAGGAGTTTATTGCAGATACACCACCTTCATAAATCTGCCGTCTGTTGAAAGCTTGAGCAAATACTGTACCATGATACCCAAATCAACAGCACAATACTTTAATTCTAAGAAGCTTTGTAAGTCTCATCTAAGGACTCCTGGATCGTATCTGCAAAACAGCACACCCAGCAGTGCTCTAGTACAGCAATACTGCTACTGTGCGTGCATCCTAGCATGTGAGCATTTAAAAAGAAAAAAACAACAAGTTCAACATAAATATATGGAACGTGCCAATTTAGCTGTAACTAAAATTATAACAATATCTCCTACACTTTGACATACATTACTTCATCGGTTTAAATATACTAACAGCGAAACGAAATGGTGAAAAAACTTTGTTTATTAAGGGGGAGGGGAGAGAGACTTCAGGAAGAGAAAAATATTCCAAGTTTTAGGCTTCCAAGATGATCCAGCCATGGTAAATTGCGACTGGGCCCACAGTGGCAAAGGACCTGCCTAACTCCTCTGACAGGAAAGCCAGGACCACCTTCCACGAACAGATGCAAGACAGACAGCACAGCAGAAACTAAGCTGATTGGTTCATATTAGATCTAAATCGCTTGTCCATCCCCAGTTATTATTCTGTCAGGAAGTCTTGACAGAAGTTAACAACATTATAGTTTTGTCCAGAAATAAATGCATTTGCCACAGAGATCAAAAGAAAGATACTACTGTTTTACTGCATTAGTCACAGCAAAAGGATCAATGAAAACTGATGTGCTGAGGAAAGATAACAAGGAAATAAAAAAAAAAAACGCAACACAGTGTAACAAGGGGAATTAACGGATATAGTAACTTCAACTATGGCATAAGAAAGACCAGAATAAGATGAAAATGGCCACAATGCAAGGATATAAAATTAACATAGGACTACACTATTTCACATCTGAGCAGAAGTCTAAGAAAATAATAATGAGATAGTCTTCATCGCCAAGGACTTAGGTTCAAAGTGGTATTTTCAAAGAGAGTATTTGCTCAAAAAACTGGTGCGAGAAACCGAGTGTGAAAGCAGCAGGTAGACATATGTTAAATTTTCATCTTTACATACTTCTTGACATCCTATGAGTAAAATATTGCTAATCAATTTATACGAATTCTGCAGCAATTTTTGCTAAAGCCAGGCTACGGGCCAGAGTTCCCCTGCCCCAAGAACAGACAAATTGCACTCTCACATATGACTTGATGATCCATTTGCTCTCCAGTGCTGCAATTTTGCTAAGTTGGTGTGTTCTTCCTGAAGTTTCTGTCGTTACTGGAGAACCCATCCATATGCTTTACAAATGAAATAGCCACTGAATTGCAAAGCGGAAAAACCACTTAAGGGGTTCTAAGTCAACCAGTTATCAGAACATTACCAGGAAATAAATAGTAACCACTGTTAGCATGCTGTGGAAATGACTTGTTAAAAGGTTAAGGTGGAAAGATGCTTGTAAATACTCATTAAGATAACTGCAAAGCATTTCAGCAGTGTGTCTGCTGATTAAAGTTAGATGGTAAACTTCTTCAATTTCAAGTCAAAAGATTACGACGACGCCGAACTTTCTATAAAAGGCATTAGTGAAAACCTGAAAGCCTCATGAAGACGTTCACTGTGTCTATTTTTAGTATCTAACTTACACGCTCTGAGTCACACTCCCTGCACCACCCCAGCAAACTTCATTGACTGTATGTAGGCTACTAATCTGGCTGTTCAAATGAACATATGCCAGTTGCCTACAAAAGGTATTGTGGGTAATAACTATGTCCTACTTGCACACCCACATTTCTGTCTGGTAAATACCTGAACACCACACTAAAAAGAAAAATCCGATCCTTAGGCAAGAGTACAGTGACAAACATCCACTGGCATGGAGGCTGTATGAAGGATTCAGGCTACTAGCAAGAAGTCTTTGAGAAAAAAGTATTTGTTAAAGGGAAAATAGTAGCATCTTTGTTTAGTTCCATCAGAAGATGTATATTTAAAGAAAGTTTCTATCTCTCAATCCAAGACAGAGCTTTAGCATTCAGAAAGGGTTTCCCACCGCGTCCTTTCTGTTTCACCCTAAAGGCACTGAGTTTGGCTCACAGTTATTGTTTAAAGAGACAGAGAACAAATGACGAAAGGCCGCTGTTTTTCCATGAAGTTCAAAAGCTCGGCTCAGAAGAATAAGGAACTGCAGTAAGTTAGCTCCTGCTTTCGCTTGAGAACTGCACAGTAAACCTGCCGGAAGCAGGCAACTATTACACATCGTTCCACAGAGTTGAAAAAAAGTGTATTTACTTTCATTGTTTTATTAGCCACATGCCATAACTAAAAATATATATGTTTTAACTGAAGGTACAGTTGTATATATCCATTATGCAGAAAGTCATAAAATCAGTGTGGTAAGAGTGAAAGCCTCCAGCTCCCCAAATTTGGCAGTGTGTCAAAGCATGTTCTAAGTACTGTACTTACCTTCTGACATCTTCAGCACCCATGGTAAGCTTCTACTGTGCTAAGCAACCGTTGCCTTTTTTTTTTTTTTTTAAACAAAGTCTGTGACAGTGAATTAGTGTGACTGCAGAAACATGTCAGCTTATTCCCTAGATATTAGCACCTCCTTTGCCAGCAATAGCCATTATGCTGTTAGCATCTGATGCTGGATTTAAAAAAAAAGAAAAAAAACAAGTAGCTGGAATGCTCTGGATCTGAGTATTGCAGAAACAAATTTAGCATTTTCTGATTGTTAATAGAATTTAAGCTAATTGTGTATGGAAAGTTCTGCAGACAACACACGGCCACAAAAATGACATTGAAAACTAATAAATCGATATTCATGGATAATTTTCAGTTTGTGTGCAGAAGAGTGAAGTGGCTGAGCAACATTTAAAACTAGTTCTGTAGAAAAGATCTTAAATATTCTTCTCTGTGTTTCAGGGGACTTGGAGTATTCCAAAACCACTACTTTTGACCCCTACAGAGAAGCAGCATTTTTGCTTTGTTCTGTTTTAAAAAAAAGCATTTCAAATCCTGAGATTTCTAGGAATTTCATCGATTTAATATCCAATATATAAATCTCCTTTTCTAAAGTAAGAGACAGTAGCACTGAGCCCATATTTGAAATATAATATAATAACATTTCAAATTTAAGTTTCTTGAACAAGCTTTCTCAAACCCATCACTTCAGTACTTCTAAAACTGATTTGAAGCTCTTGATGGCAAGTTGGTTTTGGTCTGTTTCAGCTAACAAGGGTAAACAGTTTTAAAAAATGTTTCAGATTTTTAATAGTCACGTATGCCCTGGCCAAAGCATCCTCTCTCCCCTCTTTGATCACACTGACAATCATTTTCCTAGTAGCTGTTATTAAGATTATTCAGTCAGCTCTCACTTATCCACCAGAACAGAGGACTGGGATCACAGATAATATAGGCTGTGCTGGGTGCAGAAATGTTCTGCTACACAAAGTCAACATTGTAGATTCCTGTGTGTGCTTCTCGATTCAGCTTCTTTGTGCAGTGGAAAGATCCATTTGTTTAGATGCAGCATCAAACTCAACTACACCCAAGAATTTGTTACACTTTTTCATCTGCTTAGGCAGGCACATGAGCGACAGCCTCAACTTTACAGCCATTTGTTTGTACACACACCTTAGTGCATTAGCTCATGCAGGCATCCTGTTTCACCTACCATAATTTACATGTTTGTTTGTTTAGCTTGAGGCCAGCAGACTGCTCTTTTCAAGAGCCTCTAATCTTGCCAGTCTACTGTTTTTTTCCAGCTCAAAACATTATCTATGTTAATCTTAGTACTGTCTATCCCATCAATGATGCGATGGGTTTTCTGAGAAACACCTAAGTATTAAACAAAACACAAACATTGGTCTGAGGAAACAGTATGTCCCAAAGGTGATACCAAATGTTTGTCCGACTACGTACGCTGCTTTTTCTGAGTGATCCTATCACAACCCTACAAACACAGGCAGCATAAAAATGTATGCATTTGACATTATCCATTTCCACTTATTTCTCCCTCTCTTTGCAGATTGCAGAAAGTGTTCTCCCTGTACATATTTAACTATACCCAATGCTATAATAACCAATGGACTCAGTGCCTTCATTAGCCTTATAATACAAAAGGAGTAACTGATCCTCCTTTTATTCCGGTTTTGCAGAGAGTTCAAGTCTTCTATCGGCATGATTCTGGAGAGGTGCTTTCACTTCTATTCTCTATTCTATTTGACTGCTTGGAAGACAGCCTGAAACTATACTTCATTAATTTTGGTCTTCTCTTCCTTGATTGTATATACTACCTCAAGTGCTAAAAGCAGTTTTAACCTAGTAACTGCCCTCTTACTCTGATACTATTAGAAATGATGTTTTTCTTTTCAGTTTTACCCATACACTTAAACTCACAAACGCTTGTGTGGGGATAATTTCACGTGAGTTTACTACTTAATCTCCTGTCTATGGATTTCAGGTGCTAGCAAAACTGCTTTCAGCAACACATACTTATGATTTTTAGTTGGATGCTGGTGCAAACAGATATCTGGTGTCCATTGGTCTTCTGAAAAAAATCAGGGATGCGTCTTCTGGTGGTGTTTGCAGTCTCTCCCACAAACATTTAACTGACCATGGTTTTATATATTCTCATCTGCTAAGGATGTCTTCTTGGTTTGTGCTAAAATATCACAATGCACAGTGCTCCAAATATTCTTTTCATTTGATTTGAGTTTCAAATTCATTTTTCTCTCAGGTCTCAGCTTGTAGAAATTACTACAGATCTAAAATATTGCACTACTAAAACATTCTACTGTAGACTTTATTCTGAATGGGATACTTTTAATTCCCAAATGGGAACTCCCAAATTTCCCAAATTCAAAATTTTCTTGATGACCTCTAAGGATTCAGATCACAACCTTTATTCTTTTGCACCTATGTTTTGCACATCTATTCCTCAAAAAGCTTCCAGTAGAACTTTACAGGCTTCCAATTCCATGGTTAAAAGAGAAGTAGGGCTCACGCACCTGGAAGCTGGTCTGCTTTTTCCAGCTCTATCTGATGGTGTAACAAAATACAGCATATCTTTCTACAAGCCTTGTCCTCTTACGTGATTACAGCTACAATTCCTACAACACAGCTATGTGAAATTTGTTAAATATCTCTAGTGCATCAGCAGTTGCAACTGTCAGAAATAAGGCTACTTTTACTTTCATTTGCAAATGATAGATGCAGATAAAGAGTGAAACGTGTTGGGATTAATTCCAGTTGACTTTGTATTTTCTGAGTGTTCCTTCTGTAGTTTCTTCTAAGTAGTTCCTTGGGCAATAATTCTTCCTTTATCTATATTTCAGTTAAGCACATAAACCATTCAACCTATCACAACTATCAAATTTGCTAAATGGCGGCTAAAAAAAAGTGTTAAACAACAAAACACATTTTAAAATGAAAGCAAAGAGAATTCAATACCTTTATAAATACATGAGGTTCCACCTCCTTCTGGTAATAAAGGTGCTAACCTTGGTCTTCCCTGCTGCTTTCAAATGGGATAGTAACAGGTTTTTACGTGCTATTTTTTCCCTAGTATGTAATTTACTGTAGTTAAAGAGTTTAATGCAATGCATCCTGCCCTAGCAGTATGCAGAGCTAACAGCATGTAACTGTCCTAGGGAGAGCCACTCGCAGAGAGAGTAAAGCACAAACACAGTCCTTAGAAACCTACAAACTTTAAAGCTATACATTTGCTCCAGGATTACCAGTAGGTGGTATCTAACTCAGCAGCTAGCATATGACATTTCTTTGTAGACTTAAACCACTCGTTACAAATGACAAAAGGTTGCTTTAGAATCCTGTATCAACAGAAATCAAGACTGACACTGATCCATGACACTGAAAACACTGGATTTTGTTGCTCACTACCTGTCACTTGTCACTTACTATGTACAAAGGAAAAATTAATTTGTAAAATTTGTCAGTAACTTAAAGGATATATTATAAAATTGTGTATGAAGAAAAGATACCTTTGTATTTAAATACCAACAAAAATAATGATTGGCTTCTAACTAATCCCTTCGTAGTGTGCACAGGCTGTTGAGAACAAAGCTGTTATATGCCTAGTGCTTCAGCATCCCGCCTAAGCACAGACAGGTGATGCCTTCTCCAGATAAAAAGGCTTGAGAAGCTCCTACTCTCAACTCTTTACTGCAGTCTTTTAGAGGGGATAGCCCCTCCTCCCCAAGGCAGGATTGCAGGAGTTTCCGGCCTGCTTCAGTGCAAAGTCAGCCAGGTTAGCTTTGATCACCTGCAGCAGCAGCTGCGGCCAAGACACCTTATATTGCAGACACACCAACGAAGGGTTACTGTGGCTCTCTTGCAGTAATAACTTCAAGCAGTAGAGTAACACTATCTTAAAAGATTACAGCTGTTCCTAAAGCAACTGCCTACCCTACAGCAGAAAGACCTTCTCTCTTGTTTTCAGCAGTACCAGAAAAGGCAGCAACAAGGGAGGAAGCATGAATGTATACAGCCAGCTCCCCATGAATGAATTAGATTCATCTCAAATCAGAGCTGCCTGGAATCTGCCATGTGAATCAGTCCCATTTTCTTCACACGGCAAGCAGGACATAACTTGATTTCATTCAGTATTTCTGAGCATCTGGCTCCTAGAAGAATCCATGTTTTTGCCAGTAGGGTTTTTTTGCTCTTTTCAGGAAGTGTAGGTTTATCGCCTTTATTAAACTTGGTGGGTCCACAAGAACAAGGCCTACTAGGAATCACTACCATGAAGCCTCCTCTTCCCTCTTCAAAGATGTACAGTGAGACAGCAAAAGACTAATATCTGAGTTGTCACTATGTGAAATGAAGAACTGGAAGATGAGAACTCTAAGAGTCGCACTGCCTCTCTTGTTTTCAACAGTCACACAGAATCACAGACTGGCTGAGGTTGGAAGAGACCTCTGGAGATCATCTACTCCAATTCCCCCATTCAAGCAAAGTCACCTACGGCACGTTGCCCAGGATTGTGTCCAGATGGCTTTTGGAAATCTCCAAGGATGGAGACTCGACCTCTCTGGGCAACCTGTTCCAGTGCTCTGTTACCCCCACAGTAAAGAAGTTTTCTCTGAGTATTTATATAAAAAGTAATGGCTGAAGTAATTTCTGTGAATGATTATGAAACAAGAGTTTCAATCTGTTTCTCCTTCTAGAGAGAGAAAGTTCTAAAGGCATCAGAATAAGGCTAACACATTGCAGAAGTCAAACAAATTCAAGGAATAGGTAGAAAGATTTTCTTCAAAAAATGAATAACCTAAAGAAAAAAGTACAAAGTACCAGTACAATTAAGTGATTCAGATTACATTAAAAAAAAAAAAAAAACTTCAATGGTAAATATCACATGGAAGAAAGATAGGAAGTATAATAAGAGGTTACTCCAACTGCATCACAATTTCCTCAGTAATCCAAGAAAAAGAAGTAACAACAAAAAAGAAAACATGTAACTGGA